ACAACCAAAACGAACAGTAGTAAAGAAAATAGAAGAGTCGTGGAGTGGGTTCTTCGGTTTGAATTTTTGACCTCTTTAAATCAGGAGCGAAAGGTGGGGGGTTTTAGGAGGGGGGTAGGGAGATGTATGTCGATTGATGTTTAGAATGTCGTGGAGTAAGAGATGGCCGGAAATACACACGACCAAAAAATATTTGCCGCTGCGAGAAAACGACCTTGGAAGGCCAACAACGTGTTCTCTGCGCCTAAAAAGTTAACGAAAGAAGACTGCGTCACATTCCTGAACGGTCATCGCGTCGCTAAAAACTCTGTCGTTATTTGCAGTGACACTCACAAACTCGGTTTTTAAAAAAAGGAGGAAAAAAAGAATGCCTTACACAGGCAGGAAAAACCCAGAGCGGAAAGCAAGGCGACGAACGACATCAGTCTCATAAAGACAAATAATAATATTCATCTCTGCAACATTTGAGTCAATGGCAAGCCGCCATGTCAAACTGTTTGCTTGTACATTCCACATGTGGCAAGCTATGAGGCAAGCATTCCGGACAGGCTGGCAAAACAGAAAGGAACAGAAAGGAACAGACACATCAGGCCGTCGTAAATCGTTGCAAATGTTTTACACCCCTAATGATACGTCTAAGATACGCTAGGAAGCTGGTTGCTTCGAAACCCATTCGCAAAGATCCATCTGGGATCCAAATCTCAGCAGACGGACAAGGGTGCTCGACGAATAGTTATCTCCCCCTGCGGTAATCGAACTCACTGTTAGGGCTAAATTGCGCCTACGTATAATAACACCACACAGGTCGATAATTCGGTTTTTGACATAACGCTTATTAACCCTTGAACCAGCAAAATAAGACGAAAACTACCACATGTACTTGTGAAGGATTCCTTTTTTCGTCCCAGCTTCCACAATGAAGACAAAAGTAAATAAATGCTTACAAGAGATCGATGGAACGTTCCCCTGTGTCCTCGGAACACCATTCCTTGGTCACATCAACAAACAACTAGCCCCCGACATGAGTACCTCTTCACTATTTAATCATCGTGGCGATTAGCAGTTCGTGAAAGCGTGAAGGAAAGTTCCCTTCTGTACGTTCAAAATGAGTAGCAACTACCTCTGTTAATTTATGGTGTTTTTAATGGTGGCAACAGTTCGTGGTTTAGAAGCAAGTTTCCGATGCTGAAACTCGATCTTCGACACCACAGGGGGAAAAACTCGACATGCATAAACATTCAAATTAAATCTTCCCTTTCCCTCTTTCTCTGTGCTGGAGATTAGCGGCCCTCAAATCGCGTTCTGTGGGCTTGCGGCCCGGCGCCTGTTTACAAACATAAGCGACGCGCGGGGCTTTGGCTCGCCGCCAACTCATTAACCTGGGCGGAGAGACCCACGTGATCCTATCAGAGCCGCGCTAAACCGCTTACACCGCGCACACAACAGATTCGCCGGATTGGCTCCTCTCGCGTCCTTTCATTTCACAGCTTCTTATTCTCCTATACTTGTACCCAAAACAAATAGCAGGGCGGAGACACGCGCAGTACGTAGTCACTGAATTGTCCCGTCCCGTCAGACGTAACAGAGCGGAAGAATTCAAAACACAGTGAGACAGTCAGCGATTCTCTTTGTTTTCGGGGCCATGCATTGCAACAGAGTCGGTTTAAAAGAGGTGCAAACGAAATACATCCTGCATCCGGTATTTTATTTCCAGGTTGCAAAGCAGAAGGGCGAATGAAAAATCGTGCAGCCTTACACGCATCGCATCTCAACCGTCACAGAAGAAAGATTATACATGTACATACGTATACAACATGCGACACGGTAAGAACAACGCCGATCAACTAAAAGAGATCCAACAAACGCCTTATACTTCTAGCACCCTCAACACTCAAGAGAGCCGTGTCTTATGAAAGAGTTCAACCCACTGAGCTGCAAGTACATGGAACACGAAGGATCAAGCGCACGCCACGTTCTGCTACTTGCAACAGAAAAACCAAAACAAATCAGCTGTAGACTTAAAACTTCTGGAGATAGCATCTACCCC